CTGCTGACATTATAGGCATTACATTGATTACTTTTTCTTGTTTTTCTCTTTCATGGACTTCTGCTTTCTAGAGCTATCCATTTTCTTCATGCATTAGATAGACATATATAAAAGTTGTTACAGTATAAATCCGTGCCTATGTTTAGATTGCCATGGGGAATTTTATGAGCCTTTCTCCCTTCTCCCTTACCAACAAGACTCATTTTCCACATCCTTCCTCAACCTCCCTCCTGGTCAGTTAAGGGAGGCATAGATAAACTCTCTTAGATACATAATGAAAATAGAATATCTAGCTTGAACTGTCTGTGCTTATTTATTTATTTTGTGTATCTTTGAGAAGTTATATGGTCTGTCTTTGATTCCATGCCATGTTTGGCAAATCACTAATTGAACTACTGTTCTTTTATTAAGGAACTAAGTTCCTGTGAGATAGAGGAAATGGAGTGCATTAAGAATTTGTAGAGCTAAATCATTGATGTCGGCCAAAAAAAAATATTGACATTCAAAAGTTAGTTGTTTTCTATATAGGGAAAAATAAATGATTGCTGAAAAAAGTAAAATAAAGAGTTTGTTAGAGCGTGTAAAAAATTTCTAAAGTTGCTCTCAATTGTGCACAAGATGCTCTTTAAATTTAAAGAGTTTCTTGGAGACTCTCTTAGAACATTTGCTCTTTGTGTAATATATACCCCAATGGAGCATTTCAATGTTTAACGTTTATTTCATACTCCTAGAAAGCGTGTTCAACATGCATGCAGCTTTATAACCATTTTGTTTGCCTCTTTCTTCTGCTTCTCTCTATGTAGAAGTGAAAAATAAGTTTAAAACGACTAAAATATTCAATTACCATTGCCAATTTGTTTGTGGTTGCCATTGTTTGAATGTTGCGGGAAGATAGTTGATTGCAAACTTTGTTCACGTGCTAATATACTTTCCATATTACATAATAATGCAGTGGGTTCTTTCATCAAAGGAAATTAACTTTCCTTATCCTCTTGGATTGACCCTACTTCACATGGTCTTCTCCTCTATATTATGTTTTATGCTTACTAAAGTTCTCAAGGTAATTCTGACGACATGATTGTAAGCTTCAACTTTTGGATATTGCTAGTCATGAATACTACTTCTTGCTAAAATTTTTGTTTGTGTTTTCTTTGCAGATTATAAAAGTTGAAAAAGAGATGACTTTGCAAATGTGAGAGTACTCTTTTGTCTGATATTCGAAATTGCATAGATGCTAGCAACATCTTAAGAGTTTATCACTGAGTTAAAGGGAAAAAAATGATGGAGGATTTCAATCTTGGACTTGTTGTTTTTCCTAATTTCTTTTCAACATTTCATCTTTGCTTGTTTAGATTTGACTTTTTTTTTTCCAAATCTGATGGTTGCAAAAATTATTTTACCAAGTTGACTTTTAAATATACAGATATATATCTTCTGTCATCCCAATTGGTGTCATGTTTGCTATCTCTTTGGCTTGGAAACACTGCTTACCTATATATCTGTTGTATTTGCTCAAATGTTAAAAGCAATCAGTAAGTATTACTCATTGTTTTGTAGGTTGAAATTGATTTGGCTTGTCTATACCTAATTTCTGTAGCAGTTTTCCTACATATTACTTGTTTTACTGATCTCATTCTTGATGACATTTTCAGTGTCAGTTGCTATTTTCATTCTTGGTATAACAGCTGGACTTGAAATGATGAGTTGCAGGATGTTTCTGATAATGTCAGTGATTAGTTTTGGTGTACTGGTAGCTTCATATGGAGAAGTAAATATTAGCTGAGTTGGTGTTTTTTTACCAAATGGGAGGTGTTGT